CGGCTCGCTCTCCGCCCCCCCCACCGTTGCCGCGCCGCCGTCGCACTTTTGAATCGATCGGTTCATGTCCGCCACGAACGTTTATCGTTTTAAGAATATTTATGGCGAACAAATATTATCAGGTCCGTCGCCGCACCTTCGGGCGATAGTAATAATATAATAGATCCGAGTACGGGTGAGCGCTGAAGTCCTGGAAAACCCATCTAACCGGAAAATCCACAAGTCACATTTTCCAGGCAACTTTATTATTTTATATCATTATAATATACGATAGAATTTAACACCGCTTAACAAAACTATATTATCGCCGTCAATAAAAGCCGCGGTGACGCATACTTAAGCTGAACACTCGACTGAACTTCGATGAGGGCTAATCAGTTATGCTTTATTTAGATATAAGTACCTACCTACCAAGTATTACAAACCTGTGGGAGTAAGTGAGCAAAAACTGTCATCGTGTGCCGTTCGTGTATCGTTTGAAAGGGCTATTATGATTTTTTTTTTTACTAAATCTTTTTATCTGTGCCATCTATAACAACACAAACATTTAGCACCCAAAGTATACTAAAAGCCAGATTTCTCGTTTTTTTTTCTTATGTCATTGATCCTCTATGAAGTCCAGTTTTCATCCATAACATTTAATCTCGAAATTATAATTATAATTATTTTTAAGAAATGATAATATTATTATTTCTATGATAAAATCACTATTGCACGGCGTCATGGATAGGCAATTTAGTAGCATCACTGTCATGAATACATTTTTCTGGTAACTCATTACCGATTTTCGGACAACGTTTAGTTAAAGTGAATTGAATACTTAATATCGAGTGATCAAACCCAATTCCTTCCCACAAACCTATTTATGGTCAATTATTAATAGGCTTGGTTCAAGTGACTTGATATGAGTGTAGGTACTACTAATTAACATATTATTAAAAATTATAAATCAAGAATCTCATTTGTATAATATTGTGTTGATGTGGCCAACAAAGTAATTATTAAATAATCGAATTTACTGAAGTCTAGATTTTCAGAGTCGCTTACATAATAGTTATATCAAACTAGGTACTATAGTACCTATGAGCCGTCAATGCCCCTTCCCCGCCTAGTTGAACCGATACGTAAAACATCAACAGCATAATTAAGTACAATAACGTTATTCCTGAATAACATTGTACAATAATATCGGTAAATCGTAATTAATAATCATCGGTATTTGTATTTCCATCCATTATCCTACGTAGTTCTACTGCAAAATTTATAATAAATCATATGTATGTTCTGACTAACGACAGAACCATAGCGATTGATTTACAGCCAATAACGATAGAAGCACACATAATAATAATATATTTACACACAATGGAAATGTTGCAAATGTAAAATGAACTATTATTCAGACAAAAAAAAAAAACCTTAATTGCAACTAATGAACCCTTTTCAGCTTTTCGACTATCCATAAATTACCTGAAAAAATTTTCAGTGACCGACGTACACACATTTATATGGTTCGACAGTAGTTTGAGTATACCTATAGTCGTTTTGATAAATACTGCGCACAGACCGGAAAACCGTCCAATACGTGCCACTCTGTCAACGCCGGGCATTATATTGTTAATCAGCAGAGTATTAATTTACTAGAATGATGACACTTTGCCGGTAGTTCGGAATACTAAACCGTTGTAACTTGTCTGTGAAATATTATTTGAAACAGAGACCCACGTGGTTGACAAACAACTAGGAATAAATTCGTAGCCATCACACACACGCGTGTATGTGGGTGTGTGTGTTCGGAGTAGACGGAATTCGTTTGAATATTATTATCTATGCCTGTATTACAGTAATTGAAGGTCTTCAAGATCTCCATCAGGGAAAACGCTCTGGTATAAAAATTAAACAATACTTTCCAAATATTTGAAAGTGTAAAATATGTAAACCACCGTTGTATATTTATTGTAAATAATAATTGTTTAAAGCTCAAACGGTTTAATTAGGTGTTGACTGAGTTACATTTTTAATACATTTTTTATTTTGTTTTTTAATGATTTATGTGTGTCGTTTAATTTGTGGTTAAAAAGTAAAGGGGTTAAATATTTATCGAATTTGATGATGTGTAGACTTAATGTTTTTCGTTTTTTATCGTCTTAGGGGGGGGGGGGATTAAACATATGCGGAATTTGGTTTTTAAGATATCTAATCAAATAGGCTCCATATTAAATAGTCTAATATAGGTTTGGGCTTGAAAAATAAAATAAATTAGAAAACGTATATTATTATACAACATATTTAGAAAATTAGATAATCATAACAATATAAATAGCATTTATAAATTATTTTCTTGTTATTTTCTTAAGCCTTAGGAATTTAAAGTAAATCTTCGACATACCAGTATGTGTATCATAATATTGTATATGGTAGTTCTACAATCTTCCTGTTAACTAATATTGCAAAATGGGGTTATTAAATTAAGTCAATGCACTTAATAATATAGTTGTTACTTGATTTGACATTAGGAGATATGAATGAAAAAGTATTTGAATTAGCTACTTATAACTTTAACCAAATAAGCGGATGATAACTGTAGCTGATCTATTTGGTTTTAATGTTATGCTTAAATAGGTTCTGCTCTATTCTGTCATTCTTCAGTACGGACACACAACATTTGGAGGAAAAATAAATAAAAACTGCGTTAAAAAAAAAGAGTATAAAATACAATATGCTATCGAAGTTATATATTTTTCTTCCGTGTAGAACATACATTTGATTCGAATAACCACACACAATAAGTGATATTTAATCAACCATCCCCGTGGCTCAAATAAAATTACAAGCACGGATTTCCAGAAGCAACAATGATAGATCCTATTAGTTAATTAAACATTTACCGATACTTAATCAAAAATGTCAAACCTCCCGCAAACGAGTTTATTCGGGACGCACGGAGAACGAACTCGATTTTAATAGGAATTAATCCCGGGATACCGATTTCTAATGAACGGACGGGGGGAGATCCGATCGATATACTTTTGGTTACGGTGGTAGTATTATAAACACGTTGTTTTTAAACTTCGCTTACATAAAAATTCCATCTTCGGCCGAAACAAAAACAAAAAGCATAAAGATATATATTATGTAAAAAGACCACAAGTTTGAATTTCGTGAGTGTGTTTACTGTTTACCCATAAAAGTTGTTACCCGAGTGATGTTGAAAATGATACATTTTTAAAACGCGTGCACTTCATTGTTATTTCATTATAGCCGAGACAGTAAATACTACCAACTTAAGCATATTATAATGCTCGGTGGTGGTACTCACTATCTTGACAAATGTGCATTAAATTTAACATAAAATTGTACGCCTATATAGAGTTTTAAAATACTACCAAGGAAAACAGCGAAATAAAAGAGAGTGTGCGCACAAATAGGTGGAATGCTCGTTAAAAATCGTTTTCAAAGGCGACGGGAAGTAGAAAGAACGGGGGAAAAAAAATTCTATTTAACTTTCACGAATTATTTACCCTCGGTCCCCCTTTCATTCCTCTTATGATTTGTTGTTATATTTTGCATTTCAATAGCGACCATTTAACCTGGAATTATTCGTTTCATGAAACATTTTGCTCTTTTTATTTATTTATATTATTATTATTTTTTTTTTTCGCACCCAACTGAATTTCCTGATATTTCATTTGTAGTTGAGAGTTCAAAAAATTACGAATTAATATCATAAACAATAATTACCAACTCATTCGCAAAAATGGCACAACCGAATGAATCCAAAGTGTTCGGAAAACAAATAATTATAATAATAGTTATAAATTGGAGAAAAATATTACTACTTCAACCGTGGGATTTATTACGTGCATTCTTATACGGAATGAACAATAATAATAATTATTATCGTTGTGGTGTTGTGATACTGAACAAGAAAAGCTCTGATCAAGATAAATAATTATCAACGAAAACAATAATAATTATTCGTCGGAATCATGAAATTATACGCTGTTAAAAGGACGTCGTACCCGCATATTGAGTTGCCTCCGTCTTACTTACATTAAACATACCGAAGTGTACACTTAGCAGTTCCAATTTTGAGTTGTTAACATAAACATTACTGTGAATTGACCTGTTATCAAACTCAAGATAAGAACGTTTTTCATGTTCTCTCATAATAACGACGTCGGTAGGAATCAAATAATGTTCTTTTTGGAACTTTCAAGATAATAAGGTCACTCCAGTATTTAAACTAACAGCATAAAATCGAAAATAATGACTCCAAATTTGTTGTGTTGTCAATTAATTGTAAGACAGAATTAACAGTATCTTTGGAGCTGTAATATTAGTCGTAACATATAAGATTGATTATTTTTGTTTTATATTTTCAAAATGATTGTCTATTTTTTACAGCTTGCTAAACACTCCTCAGTTCGAATGATTTCGGTCGGTTCCATGATTTTAGTGTATCTAGGTTCTATTCATCTTTTTTAATTTTTTAACCAAAACGTAATTGAAGTTGTGATTATCGTCACTCCGATCATAAGTGGATCGGTCAGACGTCTACCAAGTCGAGGTTTGTCAACAGATGATTTAGATGCAGTAACAAACCGTTTGTTGGTTTAATCCGAATATCCTGATATTTTCCTTTTTTTTACTGTTTACACAGTTCAAAAATAACAGTGTTTGAACAGTTGTAGAACACAGCGGCTCAATATTAAATTGTGCCATGCGATTTAAAATACTTTTAAATATTAATTTACTTCATGGATTTTTCGGTTAAAGGTAAAAAGTATATTCGCTCAATGGTTTTTACTTTTTATTAGCTCGACACGAACAGAGACATCATAACGGATGACCGCGTACATTTCGATTCGTGTATTAAAAAAAGGGATGTACGTTATATATATATATTGTGATATTTGGTTTTTATAAATCGACTTATCGAAGAAAGAGATAGAAAAATATATAAATTTAATAATAATAAATACGTTATAGGTACTCACGATATTTCGCCAAAAGGTGCGAATGCTTCTCGCAGTGTTTGCGTCTCGATTTCAGGACTCAGGTCACCGACGAATATGTGATGGTGTTCTGTAAACAAAAATAATATCCATACAAGGTAAATATAACGTTGATGTGTCATGGCAGCTGCATTGCTGCAGAGTCAATAATAATAATAATAATAATAATATAACGCTTTGACAGAAAAATGAAATAATAAAAAAAAGGTAATGTTTATTTTTTGGACGTTATCTTAGCAAACCAGACATGCCATTTGTCCGCTGAGACCTCTTGTCTGCAGCTAACTTTCATAAAACAGGTAGAAACAAATATACACGTTGAATTCACCGGAAAATAAATAAATTTAAGAATGATCCGTCACTCGCCGATCGCGAAAATTATTTATTAATAATGTGATATTATTATAAAATGATTTATAGTCTAGCCACAATAATATAAATCTACGGTTGGCTTTTAAACATTTTTTGCTCTTGATTTTTTTCCCGTGTACCGACTGGCGACGCAATACCAATAACGCACGCAGTGTATATTGTACAAACACACACATAAACATTTATATATATCACACACAATAATTAACAATACATAATATATCTTTTGCGGTCCGCCGGAGACTCGAAACGACCGAGTCTAATCGGTTCGGTCGAAAACACATTTGGCCCGCTTGTATTTGTCGACCGTTTATTTACGGATTGCCGGTCAACGGCTAAATTACGTTTTAATTGAAAAAAAACTCTCTCTCCAAGTACAAAAACTATCACCAACGTCGTTCCGGTCCCACTGCCACTCAGTTGTCGACATTATTCCACGTAAAAGGTATATAGCAGAGGTAGGTATATAAGATATCCTCTCGCGTGTTTACTTCCGAGTCTGTTTGTTCCCAGAGCACACATACACTTATACACACAAACGCACGCAAACAAGTTATTTCTGTCTGCAAAAGTTTAACCAAATACTTGTTACTTACACAACGGCAAAAAAGGTCAAAATTATTTACATTTGTTCTCCCGTAATAATAATAATTATTGTTGTCGTCGTCGTCGTCGTCGATTCGTAGCCCATCGCTTCCTACCACACTGATCAGTGATCACATAAAAATAGTCTTTTTAGCCAATTTATACTCGATAATAATCGACGGAGATTTAACTCAAAACCGTTTACGCATCAATTATCGGCAGGTGGCTATGTATAGTATATTTAGAGTTTAGAATTTCCGATATCAAATAAATTCAACCGTTTGTATCGATCATGGCCTGAAGACGCCACACATGAACAAAAAATACATCGATAATGTATATGGTTGAAAAGACTTTGTGGAATTTGGGTGTTGAAAGAAAGCGTTTTTTTGCTTACTCACAGAACGAGACAAAATTTAGTTACCAAAGTATTAAACGCTCGTGTGCGAGGAAGGTCATATTAAAATTCTAAAAGAACTTATTCGCATTCCGAGCAACAACTTTTAAACCTCTTTTGTGTTGTGAAACAATGGGTTTTTTTTTATCAAAGTTAAAAACAGACATTTCTGTTTGACTGGTAAAATTAAAATAGAAAAAAAAAGAAAAGTAAAAAAGTAAAACAACGTCAGTAAACGCAACGGCGACATGCGATCTTGCGGTCTTGCGCGCACCCACGTGCCTGAATTGCCTATCTCGAAAGCCGTGTTGAATGAATAATATTTTTTCTTTTAAAAACAAGAGTGATTTGCATCCATCGAGCGTTACTACGATTCCCGAGAGGTGAATAAGTTTTTTTACGATATTTAAGATTCAACGACGAACAATTATTTGAGCTATTACAAATAGTTATGCGGAGCGTGCGCGTCTGCTCGAAAACCGAAGGGCGTATTATTATGCACGTACAGCGGCATCGGCAGTATAATAATAATAATAATAATAATAATAATAATAATAATAATATGATATATGCGTATCTGCGTGTAACCTGTAACAAATGCGCTCTGGCAGCTAGCGACCTTGTTTGTGGCAATAAACGGAAAGGATAATATTGAACTACACGCGCGTACGGCCGCAGCAATGTCACAGGGGGCTGTGGAGGGGGGTGAGTAGAGTACACGCGTCATCGTGACGGGACGGAGAGGGTTGGTTTAGTACGATGCGCGTGTACGGTGCGGTGACAAGGGGGTGAGGGTACGACTCGTCGTGTGAACGCGAACGCGACGTCGGCGGCAATAGGAGTAAGTGGATTTACGTGATCGGCAAGTGTAACCCGTGAATTTATATTATATATTCTTTATATAATGTATAATATATATATATATATATATATGTGAGAAAAAATATGTGTGAAAATATATATATATATAATATATAGGTACGTTACTAAACAAAGGGGACGCAGTGGAAGCGGCGGCGGCGGCGGCGGCGGTCGTAAACCAACGAAGAATTTATTATCTGGTTGTTACACACGATTGGCAAGAGACGTTAACGGGCGCGCGTGCACTATGGGTAATATTTATGTATATATATAAGTATATGATGCGTATTTATATTAATCTTATGTATATATATTTTATATACGTATCCACCAATAAACAACTGAGGAAATACGCAAGCGCTGTTCGAGAAAAACCACTACCGGTGCTAAGGGAGGGGGGTAGGGAGTTGGAAAACCGAGCGCAGTATTCGTTACGATATTAGATATACGGAGCTGTTATATGTTGTAATAATATTATTTCACCCATCTACCACCCGACTTTTTGAGCGTCGAAACAAACGAAAGCCGTGCACGAAGTGAAGTCGGCGGTGGCCGTTGGAATCGGGCCAAGAGCCGGTGCGATTTGAATCGGCCGCTAAAGAAAACGACAAGGACAGAGTACCAAGCTCTTGGCACCACGGCTACGTATAGCTCATATTATTATTATTATATTAAATGTAGGTCACCGCCAGATCGTCGTGGCGAGAGGATTTCGACGATGGTTGAGATAGTGTATTTCATTATACTAAGCTCGAGTGTGAGACAATCGAATTTAGAAAGTCGGCCTGAAAATGTAGTTGATCTCCCCCTCCCTCTCTTCTCGAGATTCTAGTTTCTACGCCAGACATGTCTGCGGTGTAGGATTCTCGTGGTTTGATCGCCAGTCGATTGCGTGACAAAGAATAGATCATCAAATATTGACACGGTTCCATTATATCGATACAATGCGTGTACAACCGTTTTAGGGGCGCGCCCGATGGAGATGAAGTCGTCGATGTACATTATTATAGTCTTGTCGTACCGGTTGTCACCATCGCAGTACGGACGAGCGCAACAAGTCTTGAAAAACTACTCTGTTCGAGCTTTGGTTTGGGTCGATGGAGAGTGGCGTCGGCGGTTATCGGCTATTATTATACTCCAAACGTGTAATAAATGTATACATAAATACTGTGTAAAGTAACATTACAAGCTTAAAGCGTCTATTACGGTTTCCCGACCTGCAGGGAGCTCATCTGTGTGTGCAGGAGCGGAAAAACGACCGACAATATTACCGCCGATGTTTTCTTTCGATTAGAGAGACGGCCGTAATGACCAAAGCGAGTGCACCGTTTATTCCACGCTAAATGCCGATCGAGTGTGGGTTTAAATGACCGTTACACGAGTGCCGTTAACTCGATCGTGGTCGGCCGCTGTTAAGGGTCCCTGCGTGCGCTAAGAGCTGAGCAATATCGAAGTTTCCGGTTTTCGCGACAAAAGTCAATTTTCACTCGTAAAATGTCGTCGGGTGGAATACTGTCGTTATTGGCATGCAATCGATAAACCGGTGCAGTATAATATTATACCCTCGACAGTAGGTACTGCTTTTCTCAGCCGGTGGCTCGGTCCACTCGAACGTCTCGTGAGGCTGTAATCATTATCATTATTGGTTTCCGAAAAAGACACGAATACAGTTACAAAGAGAGAGATAGACGAAATGCATTCGTTTTGCGGGATCCGATCGAAACGAGGTTGTTCGTCGAACAGCGCAGTATAGGCTTGTCGATATGGTAAAAAATATATTATACAACACATATATAGATTTGTATAAAGAGATTTTCCGTTTGACAGATATCGCACGTTTTTTTTAGTGCCCGGTGCGCACATGCATTTTATATGAATTCACGTAGAATGCAACGCGAGCTTTCCGGTCGCCCCGAGACAACGATAAATCACACGGACGGTCGACGGTTTTTTTTTTTTTTTTGTTCAAACGAGCAGACTAAAAAATAAAAATAAAATGTATAACGCGTATATACGGCATTCAAAAATACGTGTACAATAATGTATACATATAATATATTGTACGATACGCGAGAAAACAAAACGCGAAAGGAGGTCGTAAATTATCGGTGTTATTATATGTATATGTATGGCCGGCGACAGCAGGAGCATTATATTATAGCAATATATATGCGATATATGGTCGCACGTATACACAACGCACAAAACCGGCCTTTGTCGAACGTGGCCGCGGCTGCATGTAAAGCCGACCACCGCCCCGCCGCCGAATGCACTTCCGGTCGTAGCATTATTATTATATTGTCTTATCGGCGCGCGCGTTTAAATCAACGCGTTATTATCACGCAGAACATTGGTGCACTTCCTGACCGCACCACACTCTTCCACCGCCCGTTATGGCAGTAATATACGCAGCAGAGCCTATTACAATGTACACTGTGTATGTATAACGATATGATGATATCATGTGCAATGCACGTCCTTCTCCTCTACGACTGGTGCACCGTCCTGTGCACGTGCATTTAAGCCGACCGCGTACGCTATATATATTATTACAGGTACAACTATACCGGTATTAACCGTCGTCGGCGGCGGGGTCGGTGGGCGAGGAGGCAACGATTATAATAATATCCTATGCACATAACAGTATTATATTGTATATACATACCTATTGAAACGGCATCCCGTACACACCGTAAAATTGTCGACCCTTTCCTTCTAAGCACACATATACTATATACGACACGCTGTGTTTGTGTGTGCGTGTATATACGGGGGGTTAATTTTACTGCATAATCAAAGGGGTTGCTCGCACGATCTCGGCGGCCGCGGCAATTAACTGATTTATTATTCAAATA